GGCGCGAAAACTTCCTGAATTCTGGATTTATCCAACTCCCACAATACATCTGTTTCATACATCTGTTTCATACTCCCACAATACATCTGTTTCATACTTCCTGTTTAACATGCCGCACTTTCAGCGGCATGTTAAACAGGAAGTGACTGCTTCTGTCAGTACTTTTTGAGTTTCTTTGATAGACGGCAAAAATATCTGTGAGCAGTGTTGGATTGGAGCAAATGTAGAGCGATCAGGATTGCCTTTAGTTAGTGTTTATGGAGGTGTAACTGTCTATACGTGAGCCCCTTTTCTGGGATTTTTTTGTCTCACGTTCATGTTCGCTCCGCTACCATACATACAAATCACTTCTTTGGGCGCTATTTGATTGCTTAAAATTTCATTGCCAATAAATAAAGCCGAGGAAAATTGAAATGTACGGTTTTATTGTGCTCCACATGCGGGTGCGGGGTAGGAAGAGAGGGAGGGGGAAAGGGCCAAGGATGATTTTTTAATTGCAGCTGGCCGTAACAGAGGATAAATAATTAGGATATTAACCGGAAAGAAGCTAAGACCTTGCTTGAACATTAAAAGTAAAAGCGAGAATTGTGAGAGAAGGGACTGGTTTGTATGGGTTTATAAGATTGAGCAAGAAACTGGATAAGAATAAGGGATAATGATGGAGTAATAATAAATGTAATTAAAAATAATAAAGGAGCCATAATGCTAAGATAGAATAATAGTAATGGTGTTGCAGTAGTGTTACAATAAAAAAGCAAAACAATATCGGTATTAGTAAAAATAACAATGATAATGACAATAATAATAATAACAATAATAATAACAATAATAATAATGCTGATGATCACATTAAACTTAACTGCAGTTATAATTTAAAATTATTGTGGGACTGCAAAAATATATGAAAAGACATGAGGAAATGTAGAGACGGGACTGTAAAAAACCAGGTTTAGATAACTGGGGAGGGATGTTTCAGTCCAGTAAGTTGTCTACGTTTTTCTCAGTACGACAATTGGGCCTTGTCAGTACGGCGGTTATCGTATTTCACTAGATTTCATTAGACGTTGAGATAAGGCTGGTAAATTTGTGCTTGCACTTTTGCTGACAGACTTTACGTGCGAAAAAAGTCCGGTACTTGTTTACGATCACGATTGTAACTCTCACCCAAACCCAGTTTCTGGTGCAGTTTGCGTCTCGATCCGAGTTTTAGTAATAGCCTAGCTGGAGGAAAGAAGGAGGAAGCGAGGAAGGAAAGGTAGGAAAAACACTGACTTCTAAAGCTGAGCAGTTTAATCAGTCAAATAATAACAGATCAGTTACATTTTTTGCTTATATATGAGCCACAGGTGTCGTATAGCGAGGCAATTTGATCGCCGTGAAACTTGATTTACTATGCAAACAACTCGTTATCAGATTTCTCAGCAGCCCATTTCTAAATTTCCGTCTTGGGGTGGGGTGGGGAGGCGGGAGGGGGCGGAAAGTTGGCTTTGTTTCGCTGGCCTTATTGTGCCAGCCTTTTTGGTGGTGTGGTCTTAATACTTACAGTGTACCATTGCACTGCAACTGGGAAATGCACAGAGTGTCGTTTAGGCTAAGATCCCTGCACTGGAGAAATGCTCGGCAGTGGATGAGGCCGATCGTGATGAGCTGCTCTGGAGGCCCGGCTATATCAATCAGGAAAGCGAAAATGTGTAAGCCTTGTTATTTATCGATGCTTGAAAACATTATCGTGCTCTCTTACTGGGGTTTAGCCACGTGCGCGGAGTTGGAAGAAGAATTAACCCTTTGCCTAGTTAGCTTCTTTATCCGCATTGCCGTGCGCAGTGCGCATATCCAGTGATGTCAGTGGTGCCAGAACAACTGTGTTACTCGAATGTGAAATGAGAAGTATCGCTGGGCAAAAGTCGAGGAGAGCATTCGAGCCGAATGATCTGAGAAATCACTCCAATGAGTAGCTGGATTTTTCAAGGACGAGTCCGGAACTGATGCCATTTGTGAGCTAAGGAGTTTCCCCCAGATTGCCCCAGCGACCAGGAAGAGGCGGAGGGGGGAGGGGGAAGAAGGATTCGTTCGCGGCAAAAAGGTGTGTACCCAATGGTTTAATCGATGTGTGCTGTTGTTTCTAACTGTGGTGAAGAGGCGAGATCGTGCGGCACAGCTGAGCGTCCCGTCTCGGGAATGCGCTTATTCGGAACATAGTTTGCCCCCTTTTTTTGTCCTCAATATTATCGGTCTTTGGTAACCCAAATTTGGCATCCCTGGGCTCATTAGGCTTCAATTAACTTCGCGCTTTTTATTAGAAATTGGCAATTCTCCAGAGAACTTTGCATTAAATGAAAAACAGCAGGTGGCACCTTCCCGCACTGCTGAATAGGTTAATCGCGCGTTAAGCACTAGTCGCATTCCTCGGTTTTGT